GCTATTGAGCTGTAAAATTGTAAATAGATATAAATATACCGCCTCTTGAGCCTGATGAGGACAAAAACTTTGGTGGCTCTTTCGTTTTGGATTTTAGAAAGTGATGATGCCACGTGAAAAAGATCTATAGCCGGTCATATGATAGCCAGCACTAGGTCACGCAACACGCACTGACTGCCAAAGGTCACGCAATAGTCATCGGGTGTACGGAAGTCATCTGATGACTGTCGTAAGTCATGCAATCGTCATCACATGATAACTGCGAGTCACTCAGTAGTGATCCGATTATCGCCACAAATCACGCAATTTTACCTGGCAGCCATTACAGCATCCTTGATGGCGTAAAACACGGAGGAAGCCAGGAACAACGGAGGTTCTCCTACAGCCTGAAAGCACAAATAAATCAACCTTTAATGACAAAAAGAGTAAAAAACATCTCGACGTAAACAAAAGAAAGGGGAAGGCTTTAGATGTGATGTAATCGGCGAATCTTTGCTGACGCCGTTTACATTTTCCTCAATAACATACGACTTTGTGTAGAGAAGGCTAAACACGAACTGGCTAAAAACATTTAAAAAGCTTGTGAAACTTAGTAAAAGGTGAAATGTTTGGCTCTTTGGGTGTAATATTCGAGAAGAAATTGGCGTTCAAAAACTGTACAATTTGTAAGTGGCAAAAGCGCTAATGGACTCATACCTTATTCGTAAAATTTTGAGTTTTTGAACCCGCGTCGCACAAAAAGTATTCAATACATCGGGCTCAAATTTCTTGGGACAGTTTATCGTGCTGTGCCCTTTCAATATTCAGAACTAATGTTTTTGTAGCTCCATCAGAAACTGTATCGCTTATGCTAATGAGACAAATATTGTAAACAAAGATTCTCTTTTACTGGGCTCTTGTTGTTGTTGTTGTTGTTGTCTAAAGGCTTTGTCGCATGCTCAGAAAGACAATCGTCACGAGCATCATTCATACTTTTGAAGAGTAAACAGCTTTCTCGTTCGGTGCACTGCGCAGAAGATGAACGTAAAACTCCACTGGTATGTCTGCAAATCCGGGAATCTTATATGCNCACGTGAAAAAGATCTATAGCCGGTCATATGATAGCCAGCACTAGGTCACGCAACACGCACTGACTGCCAAAGGTCACGCAATAGTCATCGGGTGTACGGAAGTCATCTGATGACTGTCGTAAGTCATGCAATCGTCATCACATGATAACTGCGAGTCACTCAGTAGTGATCCGATTATCGCCACAAATCACGCAATTTTACCTGGCAGCCATTACAGCATCCTTGATGGCGTAAAACACGGAGGAAGCCAGGAACAACGGAGGTTCTCCTACAGCCTGAAAGCACAAATAGATCAAACTTTAATGACAAAAAGAGTAAAATGGCGTAGCGCTAGACACGAATTGACTACAAACATTCAACCAGCTTGGGAAACTTTAAGTTAGTAAGTGGTGAAATGTTTGGCGCTTTTGTTGCAATAGCGAAGATATTTGTTTACAAACATTGTCTTTGTTATTTAAATGTTCAAAACGTTAAACACAAGAACTCTTTGTTTCACCACCCAATAGTTCTCTGGTTGGTATATAAATAACAATAGGTGACGTCACTGATATCTTTGCTATATTCGAGGAGAAATTGGCTCTCAAAAACTGCAGAATTTCTGGGTGGCAAACGCGCTAATGAGATCATATATTATTTGTAAAAGTTTGAGTTTTTACACCCGCGTCGCACAAAAAGTATTGCATATATCGGGCTAAAATTCCTTGGGACAGTTTTTCGTGCTGTGCCCTTTCAATATTCAGAACTAATGTTTTTGTAGCTCCATCAGAAACTGTATCGCTTATGCTAATGAGGCAAATATTGTAAACAAAGATTCTCTTTTACTGGGCTCTTGTTGTTGTTGTTTTTGTTGTTGTCTAAAGGCTTTGTCGCATTCTCAGAAAGAGAATCGTCACGAGCATCATTCATACTTTTGAAGAGTAAACAGCTTTCTCGTTCGGTGCACTGCGCAGAAGATGAACGTAAAACTCCACTGGTATGTCTGCAAATCCGGGAATCTTATATGCCCCAGGCCCCATCGTCCACAGAGAGCCGCTTTGAGAGTATCGAACTTCTTCCAGGGTGAACAGACCCAGTCCTTGCACAAAACCGCCTTCGACCTGAAAGAGCGCAAATTTAAACGGAATACTCAGTAACAAAATAATCAATTGAAAGTGTCAGTCTTTGCCTTTGCTAAAAAATGGAGTCATATACCAAACATATAATGAAAAACTAAATTTGTTATCGTTGGAGGACAGGAGTTTCTTGTTTGATGTGTTGTTTTTTACAGAGTCCTTCATGGGTATATTCAAATAGATATATCCGCCTTTATTGAATTTTACTCACATTTTGAAAGATACCCCTTGAGGGGTAGGGACGATCTGACACTGAAGAAGCTTTATGCTAGGACAGATATTTTTAAGTATAGCTATTTTAATAGGATTGTCGATATGTGGAATATGCTTCTAATGTCAATTCATCATGCTTCTAGCGTCTCTGGTTTTAAGAGGGGAGTAAGGAATTATTTAATTTCAAGAAATGTTTAATTTAATTAAGTTGTTTTAGAATCCCCCCCACCTTTTTTTTTCTTTTATCAGGTGGTCTGCCTAGTATGGGGACTTTTGCTGACCATCCTTATGGCCATTTTAATCTTTTATTGCTTGTATTTTCCATGTTATCTTTGCCATTAAATTGTAATAAATAAATATATCATGTATACCATGCATTCGTTTGGCGAGTAAAGAGTGGTTATATGCCCTCTCGTGTTTGTTAGGTCAGACTTACACGACAGAACTTGTCATTAATAATTACGACGCAGCAAGTTCGCGGAATGAAGAAGTTCTACTGACCTGTCCGATGTCGATAGCCGGGTTAAGACTGGTACCAACATCCATCACAATATCTGTACGAAGAACCTGTTAAACAAATTAAGAATAAGTACAGATCTAACAAACTACTGTAAGCTGCCAAGCGACTAAAGAGAAAGATTTGTGCCAAGTTTTTGAGGTCTAAGATGAAGCAGACAGGCTCTTTAAGATGGAGTGAGAATAACGTGACAAACTCCCCTTGGATCGAGTCCTTAAGATGACGTTACAGTAGTGTGACCTATTTCCTCAAGATGGCGTGACAGTGTGTGGCCAAGCCCCTAAAACCATAGCTTAACAGCCTTATGCCAATATGTCCTTTTAAGATGGAGTGATAATAATGTGACTCACTCCCGTTAGATCGAGTCCTTGCGATGACGTGACAATAGTGTGACCAAGCCCTCATAACCATAGATACCATCACAGCCTTATGTCAACGTGTCATGTCAGCTAACGAGCAAAGTCATTTGTTTCTGAAGAATCTATTGTGCGGCGTCTTGGGTCAGGACCTCGATAAAGATTGCGGAAAGAGGAGTTGAACAATATGACTAGCCACTCCATACCTGGTGATCTCCCGTGAGGCAGTCGACCTCCACTTCAGAGCAAGCAGCACCAAAACAAAAATAGTTAAACACTCGGCCAGTGTTCGTTTTCCAGTCGTATCCTAAGTCAGGTGTTCTGAAAGAAAGGTAAAACCACTTGCTGAAATTTAAACTGGTTAATTCATGGCACAGGGAGACAGGGACATTATTGTTATTGTAAAATACTTCCAGTAATGGAGTTGCGCTTGCTTTTAGCTACAAATGCAAGATTCAACTGATACAAGCTGACGGACCTTCAATTAAACAAGCAAGCAAACAAACAAAACAATTGGTTATCCCTAGTTATTGCAAAATACCTATCCTAATCTAGGGCTCAGGCCCCAAGAGAACGAAAACAATGATGGCCTTAGGTCATTATTTTGGTTATACAAATTTGTATTCTGCTTTAGTTACCTATAGAATCCATTGGCAGAAAGATTGACGCGATCAAAGTAGGCAGAGCGAACCTAGTAAAAACAAACAACACATCATAGGATCAATGGAAAATACTCTTGAATGGTATGGTTTTCTTGCTGCTCATTATTTCAGTGGAGTTCCTAGACGCAGTCTCTTCTAGAATATGACCTGAATTATACCGTCGCTTGTATCTAAGCGTGAACACATGACGTCATTTTTCCTTTACTTGGTGTCAAAGCTGGCATGATTGGTCATCAAACATTTGAAACTTAGCAGACCGTAACGTGAACTTTCGCGCTGAGAGTCTTGCTCCCGCCGATATTTCATGGTTATACCAGAAGAAAAACCACTTTCGCGAAAGGCGTATGCATATTGGCACAGGTCAGGGTCAATTTCTCTGAAGAAGTCTTCAATGTCCAAACGTTTCTGCTATTTTGTGTGCTGAACTTTTCGCGCGAAAGTTCGCGTTACCGTCTGCTAAACTTCAAATGTTTGATGACCAATCATGCCACGTTTGATACCCAATTAGAGCATGTTTCGGCGTCACGTGTTCACGCTTAGATGCAAGCGACGGTATCGGAACTCCGTTGACACAAACAACTTTGGTTCTTTGAAATAACTGGCAATCAGATTGATCTGTAATACAAGTGTAAAGTGGTTAGTGAAGGGAAACTTGGTAAAAAGTAAATAATTAAAGTAATAAAATAGACTTTTCATGTAACTGCCTGACGAAAGAATTAACTAGGCGACGAATAGACGAACTTATGACCAAGAGACAGACAGACTAAGACAGACAGACAGACAGATAGACAGGCAGGCAGGCAAGCAGACAGGAACACAAGACCGGTTGGTAGGCAGGCAGGCAGAGAGACACAGACATAGACAGACATGTAGAGACAGACGGAGGCAAACAGACACTGAGCTCCACAGATGGTGGAGTGCACCAATTCACAGTCGGAGTGACTGGGTGACTGAGTAACCACCCAACAAAGTAGCTGACAGGCAGGGAGGAGACCTAAGTGACGATGGAATGCTGTCAACTTACCCAGTCCTCCCACGTTCCTTTAGGATTTTCCATTTGATAAGGTTTTAACCGCTCAAGGATTTGCTCGCAGGCAATCTGCCGAACCATACAACACACAACGTTAGTAGGTATCTTTTTGATTACACGTAAATGGAGGTCCTGTGTAACTATAGGCTGCCTTTTTGTGTTTGATACAGTCGAGATATATGGGCTCGATTTCTGCCGCACCCTCGAGTCCAGTCTACGTGAAGCGCGTGCTCCTTTCCCGAACAGCGGCTGATAATCGAGCCTAGATACACAAAAGATATGCTACACTTTCACTATACTCGACATATGCTCCTGCCGTGCGTCACACGTTCATATTTATTTGTAAATACTTTCTATTAGAAGGTTGAAGTGAGCTATACTATGCGAGGAAAAAGTCGTAGTTTTCAATACATAACTACAATTATGCATCTAACCATAGTTAATTGACGGGAACAACTGCCGAATGATCGAGAGAATACCACAAGTCAGTCTCCTCATTTTACGAAGTTTCACAAAGGTAAGCTGGAATGATTTGTTTTCTCAGGAGAAAAGGTTTTACTGTGGTGGCGATTCGATTCAAATTATCTCATAAACTTCCAATAGATCATAGAGCCAGAAGCCAGGCACATTCATTGGAACAAAAGAAAGTGTTTACGTAAGAAAAGAGTGCAACTCCCACAGGATTGGTTTGGTGCACCAACATGGCCGCTGTCTCATTCTGTTGGAACATCAATATGGCTGCACGCTATCGGCCATACTCGTATTCTCGATGATGGACTGGAACTAGCTTGCAATGGAGGCTCATGCGAAGGGAAATCAATATATAAAAAGAGATAAATGTCATTTGCATTTGAAAAGACTCCTCGCATTAGCCTCAGTTGCAAGCTAGTTCCAGACCAATACCGAGAATGGCCTATGTATTAAGTGCCTTACTTTGACAGCCATGCCGTTGAGATCAGATGAAGCTGACGCTGCTGTCGGAGATGTGTTTGCAACTGTGTTAGTGCTTGTTTCAGAAATGTGGATTTTAGACAATGGAATTCCGAAACTACGAGCAGCTACCTGCGAAAAAATAAGAAAAGAAAAGAAAAGAAAAGAAATCAGACGCTGAATTCGCAGCAAACACCTTTTTATCCATGGGCTTATAAACAAGACTGCATCTCACTAAAAAATGAGCCATAAACTTCGTTGCAGGCGTAAACGGAGAGGGGTAGGGGAGGCGAAAATCTCCCCCTCCCTCCATGCCCGCTCTCTCTTTCTCCGTCTCCCCCGTTTTACGCTTGGTGCGCAGGCTGTAAGAGCCAAAGCTCTCCCAGACTAACCTAATCTGTCGCCAAAACCAACCAAAATTGCGTGAGCAGGTTTGTAACTGAACCCGCTCTGTTAGAGCTAGTTATTTGGTTCACCAGAAGGATTTTTACTGACCTGCACCATTTTGGTGTGTAGTCCTTGCCCCATTTCTGTTCCACCATGAGTAACCAGAACTGATCCGTCTGTGTACACGTGAACCAGAGCACCAGCCTGCCAGAAGAAAATAACAACAAAACATCAAAAGAAATGCAAAATGCTCGAATTGATTGTTTAACTAGATGGTTTGTATAACACTAAAATGCAAAGTAGCGATTCCTTGCTCAATTTTAGCATCTACCTTGTGCTGCATGTGTCTGCGAGGTTGAACAAGATTAAGTAAAGGTAAAGTCTGCATGCAAGCCAAGTGGCCCATCACGCCGGAGCTTGTTTCCAGTTTCTGTAGCACGAAGCGACTAGGGGTATTTCTACTCCCCCCTGGATGGGGCGCTAGTCCATCGCAGGCTTACCCCCCAGCATTAAATTCGCCGGTACCCATGTGTACACCTGGTTGGAGAGAGGCACCATGGGAGTAAATTGTCTTGACCAAGAGCACAACACAAGGTTCCCGGCCAGAGCTGGAAGCGGGACCACTCGATCTGGAGACGAGCGCACTAACCATGAGGCCACCGCGCGTCCAGGATGTCGACCAAATCAACTCTAAAATAACCGCTTAACATTTTTTGATCAGTCAAGTTGCTACACGGTTTGCTATAGTTTGCGTTTCATGAATGCTTGGGCAGATGTTTAGAAGTAAGGATTCCCTCGTTTGATTCAATTTTCAAGCACATTTTTAATCTTACCTGATTCATGAAGAGTGCAGTAAAACTAATCCCAAACTTGGTGGGCGTCAAAGCGATGCCTCGCTTTCTCCAACGGTTTTCCCTTGAATGGAATAAAAGAAACGTAAAGGAACATAACTAACAACTGATGGTAATCGACTTTATACGTATGGTAACAGTGACATAAACGCGCTATAGATTCGTATACTTTTCATTTCTGAAGCCTATAAGTTCACTACCCAGAAAGATTCATAACAGCCACTTTAAAACTGAACATAAATTAACGTACATCTAACTGTTTCACCCATTTTCTGGAGGCTTAACGCGCGGCAGAATTTCCGTAGCATTTCAAGGGATACCTTTTCTTAATCTCATTCTATAATATTGGCACTGGGGCGGGGAGGACTGAAAACTGATTGATCAGTTTAGCCGTGGTGGTATTGGCTGTACTTCAACGGATCAAACTTTAAACACCATCGCCTGACAAACATTTTATACTTCGCTTTGATAACTTCCACTCATGTTGTCGAAACATCAGTCACCACCAACAACTCTTTTCAGAACTACCCCCACCCGGACGATCACACGATCAAACCATTTTTACTATCATAATGTTACAAAATGGACGACAATTAGTCAAACCTGTTAAATGCATCAAAGTGTTCCCTTCTTTCTTCATATTTACACTTGTAAACCAACTCGTCCCAAACCCGCTGGATGTGGCAACTGGCAAGTTCTTGATTAAAATGAGTTACATCTCCTTCGTGATAAAAGTTCAGCTCTCTGACCTGAAAACGAAAGATCACCATTTGAGTATGATATCATCTTACATGGAAACCAGTGTGATAATTCGTATGAGTGGTGTAGGACGCTCGAGAGCTGTCACGCTTGCTGTATGCTACTCTCTGATTGGTTCATCCCCCTATGAGCGTCCTATACTACTCGTATGCTTTTAGCCTGCGATCCTTTTGGAGGCGTAGTGGCTCAATGGGAAGTTCGTTGGACTGCGTGTTCCAGCCCTTGAAGCCATGGGTCAATAGGCTGTGTTCTTGGGCAAGACACTTCACTCTCAAAGTGCTTGTCTTTCCAGGTGTATTAATGTATACCTTACATAGCCTGAAATCATAGCCTGGCCACTCACGCCTGACCCCAACGCGAGCCTACTCGCAGGTTCATAAGCTCTCAGCAGTCCCTATTCCTGCCGTCAAAAACTTTTAAATCATTTGGTGAACAAGAATTCAGTCCAGGATATTACTTTAGCGAACTAACCTGTCTCTGTGAAATGCCACACGTGACTGCAATGTCACCGATCCATGATTCAGCAAACATCATACCCTACGGAAAAAAAAGATAATTATAAAAAATACAGTTCACATTTTGTGCTAAAAAGAGACCATTAGTAACTAATCATAGGCTACAAGGTCTCACAGCAAGTATTTTTTAAGTGACTGAAGGTATTTCACATCTTGCTTTGTATCAAATCAAAAAGATACAGCCATAACCCCAATCCATCTCATTAAACCGATTCTGCAATTTGACAGTACACTATGCAAAGATTTCAAGTTGCGTAGAACACACGCAAACTCGAAACATACCATTTCAAAGACTTCACTGTCAATCATGCACAATCTACCAATAGAATCCCAGAGATAACTAACCTGCGGTCCGCCAAATCCTCTGAACGCAGTGTTTGATGGGATATTGGTCTTACACATGTAGCCTTGTCCACGGATGTTAGGGATAAGATAACAGTTTTCCATGTGAAAAAGAGCTCGCTCCATGACCTACAGGCGATCAAACGATAAAGACAGATCAGACGAGAATGGCACTAGATGGCGCTTGAGGAATGAAGGTTTGGCGTTACACAGACAGGATTTAGGACAAATTTCAGAGTCAAAGATTTTGAGACCCCGTTTTAAGGACCCGACCACAACGATGCGTTTTCGTATGAAAACGTAAATACTTTTTGATGCGTTTACGCCTATCGTCCACACTAAACGGACCGAAAACGCTGATGAAAACGGTTTCAAACGTTGAACTTTTTGAAAATGCATCGTTTTGAAAACGCACCGTTTCTAGTGTGGATGGCCTTTAGGCAAAACCGGAGGCTTTTGAAAACGGTGCCGAAAATAGCATCATATACTCTCACTTCCATCAGCATTTTCAGGCGTTTAAGACAGTGGGCGATAGGGGAAAACGTATCAAAAAGTATGCGTTTTTTAATGAAAACGAATCAGTGTGAACAGGTGAAAACAAGACAAAAACGCTAGTGTGGTCGAAAATATTTGGCTTCGTTTTCGTTGAGAGGAAAACGGATATTTTAAAAAACACATTAGTGTGCTCGGGGCCTAAGTTCATCACTTGGTGGTGCCGAGTGTCACGCCATTTCTTAGACTACTTACAGCTTTGGACAAATCAAGTGAATTTCCAGCATTGCTGTACATCTTGACATCTAAAGCCTTGATCTTCCCGTTCACTGTGAAGCCAACCTAGAGAACCAAACCAATGCAAACAGTAAAATAACTGAACGACGGCCTCACACAATGCAATCATTTTTTCCCAAAACTAAGGCAAAGTGACAGTAGCGTAATTTGCTTACATCTTTCTATCATTTTTTTAAAGCAAAGTGCGGGTAAATTATTTACATTTATACACATTACTTCTGTTAATGTTTTAGCTATTTCATTACTTGTGACCTTTCAATTGATAAATAGGTTATGGAACTTAAGATATTAATGTGCGGCCACAATGACTAATGTCCAGCTTGATCACAAAGGTTATAATACCCTTAACCGTCTCCTGTCAAGTTATTTTTCTAACATGTCGTTAATCCAATCGCTCAAGGAAAGCAGTCTGTCTTAGGGTAGAAGCTGCTACGTACCCCAGAAAATAATTACAGACTAAAAACGTTTGTGACTTCCCAAAAAACGACTGCGGAGGAGACTAATAGAAACCCCCGCGCATAAAAGGACGTTTGACTGATATATAAAGTACCTTGTAATTGGCCAAGAATGGGTGCCTTGTGCCCGTGCTCATCATGTCCTCATCTCGATCAAGCATGCATCGCACAGGCTTACCAACCCTGACAACAGACACATGCTCAATCAACTTCATGTAAAAGGTACACGAATTGTACTATAGCGATTTACACATGCATGCTCACAAAAAAAAAGCAGCAAACATGTTGTCATAGAAATACGTATTGACTCACTTGGCAGCCGCCACAGCCACAACACTGGAAAGAAAACAGTTCCGAGTCTCCTTGCCTCCAAATCCACCGCCTGAAGATACAGACCCACAAGAAACATCAATAGTGATTACCTCTTATCTCTAGTACTTAATCTATTAAGCCCCAGCCAGACGCAAGCAATGCAACAAATTGCGACATTGCTGTGCACACGTTGTACAATTTCGGCCACACTGTTGAAATAATTACGTTGAAAGATGTTGGAAGGTCTTACAGGGTGGCCAAACGTCTGCAACAAGTTGTGCCCAACAATGTTGCTAAATGTTGTTTTGGAACGTTGAGTGTGTTTGGCGGCCATCTCGCTACGACGGCCAGTTTCTTCTTTCCCCAATGTGGCTGTTGTGGAGAGGTTCGTAGACTCTGTATTGAAATTCTTATTATAAGTTAAAAAGGCTTTGTTACCTTACAAGGTGATTTTTTCTACGATATTCTGAGTCTGAAAGCCTCTTTGCAAATAATTTACAATTCTCCATTACCATGCACCGGCCACTTTCTTTCCTGACGTAAAGTTTGATCTCCTTTCTTATTAAAGAGAGCAAACTGACTTAGGAAAATGTCTCACCCATTCTTTTGACCCGCACCACAATTCTATTGGCAGGAACTCCTAGAGCTTTTGCAACGAGTTTCTGTGGATTTGAATAGGATAAGAATAGAATTAGGACTGATAACAACGTGGCTCAAACAAGGTTAAGGGTAGCGTCAAAATTCACCTTTAAGCCAATTGAAAAACTATTGCTTCCTCACCTGAGTCAATGTTGGATTTTGAGTGGAAACGAAAAGTTCCATCTCACCATCTTCCCCTTTAGGAACAGCTATTGTGGCTTGTGTCTCCAAATAGAAGTGTTCCTGTAACAAGAGTTATTTCATTTCAACATTCTCACCACCTGCATCTTAAATTCTGTACCCATATTGATAGGAGAATTTCCTTAGTGGTCACTGAATTACGTCTAACCTGTCCGCCAACTCTCATCTCTCCTTCTAACACGTGATCAGATTCAGCAAAACCAGTTTCCAGGTCCCCTTTCTGAATACACATTGGTGTAGATTCCAAGAACGACTGGGCCGCTATGGCTTCCTGTTAATTAAGAAATGAACAGACATTTCTAATGAACTGAGATTTATGAATCACACAAAACTATCTTGGCTTCGCTGTTCTTCCGCACCAGACCTCCATCACATCCCTGACAAAAAAAATCACCACTTCCGGGGGATCTGGGCTTGCTCATCTTGAAAAGTTTAGCCTCAAGTTTTCAAGGTTGTCGTTTGTAATCCGTGTTAATCTTCTCCATCCTTAACCATCTTTGTTCCTTCATAGTTTGTTGTTATCTCTTTGGTGTTTTTCCATCTTAGTAAACTACTATTTTAAGGTTTTCTTTAATTAAAGGTAATTTTGTATGTGACTGAGTGCCTTTAAGGGTAACTCCGTCACGAAACGGGTGAACAGGAAAATGGTAGCAACTAGTACGTATTTTGTGTTGACTTAATACAGTTAATTATTTACCTCAATGGTCAATATTCTCGGTAAATCCTCGTATGTGACCTTTACTGAGTTGGCTGCTCGTTGGGCCTGGGCCTGAGTTTCAGCGACAATAGCGCCAATAATTTGACCCACGCATGTCACCTGACAAAAACAAAACAAAACAAAACAAAACAAACAGAACAATTTAGAGGGAGAGGGGTGGGTGCATTGTTAAAGCCATTTGAAATCAAGCTTAAGATTTTGGAGAAGTGACTAAAACGTTCTTATGCCTGAGACGACCAAGAAAAATCGAAGAAAATCCAATTGTGCGTTGAGCTTAGAGAAGCGATTTTTACTAATGGTCTTCCAAGGTTTTTCGGTTTTGGGCCTTAAAATGGACACCACACAAACAAAAGTAAGATAAGCTTTTTCCACCTCTAACTTTAATCTGAGAGTCCGTGTGCAGTTTTAAGGTCTCCAAAAAGTGTTTCCGTAACGCTGACCAAAGCAAGAAAACAGCTTGGATTGCAACTCGTCACTGAATCTCACTGCAAATCTACCTTCTCTGAGGCAAATACTTCCTCGTCAAATATCACAGGTCCTGTTGCATTTTGGCCTGGTACATCATCAACGCCAAGGTACGTCTTTACTCCTGGCAAATGCAAAGCCTCACTCGGGTCAACATCCCTGTGTAAAAAACGAAGAACACATATAGCAAGTGTTAATACAAATCCATTTAGCTTTCAAACCAGCTCTTTCAGGTTAGATTTGTTTTCCACGACCAGTGTAATCGCCTGAGGTAAAAAGGCGTAACTTTCTACTCAAACTTTTAAATTTGTTTTTTTCCCGAGAGAGACACCGCGCTTCGACCCGCAAAATTCCATTCGGATTACGTATCTCTACAGGGCTTCGCCGATTGGTTGTTGCCCAGGTTTGAACTTTCGTCAGCGGTTAAGAACCAATCAGATGCCCTGCAGTAGAGCCACATCATCAGAATGGAATTTTTCGGCTTGAATCTCCGAGTCATGTTGCGAGCAGAGCAAGAAAGACGCGCGTGTGAACAGAGCTCAGTCTTTTTCAGTATTCAGGGTTAAAATACTCGTCTGTCCACAGATTTTCTTTTTTGATTTGAGTTCATCGAGATCGCAAGCAAAATATTAAGCGCGGGGGAAATGTACGACCCAAAACACAAAGGGGTGGGGCTGGGCAAAGATAAAACAATTGTTTTTCGTCCGCTTCACGGTCGCTCTCATACGTTCACATACGTTCTCTGTTGTGCTTGTGTGATACGTTACAAAATTTAAATCAAAAATAATTATTGAATAAGGCAACAAAATACTAATAATTAAATTATAAAGTAAATCCCACTATGTGACTGTCACACGATATGTAGAATTTCACAAAACAGAGAGGCGATAACAAAATCAGTCATTAACTTACAGGATTTTTGCATGAGCACGTTTGCTGAAAACTGCTGCTAAGTAAAGCTCTCCTGAAAAGAAGAGAAAAAGTGCAGCTGATAATTAAACTACTTTCACTTAGTGCCATTTGTTACGATGTACAAGGTACATGTAGTTTTTACTCATACTGGTAAAATGAATGTAACATTTTCACGTGACATTACATTTGGTCATAATCAATCTATGAGAGTTATAACGAAGTATACTTACAATTGTGTATTTGTGGCTCATCAGGTTAAAATTTGTCGAATCTTTGACAGACGTGAAGCTAAGCGTATTTACAAAGGTTCTTTTAAACTTGCGAGCTGCAAAATAACATCATTACCTGCATATTTGGGGATGTCATCACAGTAGATTGCCTCTCCTGTGGCTTGTTTAGCAGCTGCTAAGTGCGCAACAGGCCTACCAACCACATCCTCTATCGACTGATCATCCGGGACTTCCTGTGGTGATGAAAATAAAAATAAAACTTCAGAAACCGGAATAAGCTCCGGCGTGATGGGCCACTTGGTTCGTATGCAGACTTTACCATAACCAGTTAGTTAACAGTTGGATAAGCGAGATAAGACAAAAGTGCATGATTATCACCTGGAAGGTCTGTGTGCTGTAGGTAACATCTCTTAGAAAATGACCGGTTCCGCTCACGAAGGTCTTTGGAATCTCAACTTTGGGAGCTGCCTGTAAAAAGCGAAAAACACATTCATTACATTCTGTAATATATACTCCTTATTCGATGGTTCAAAATACAAAACGCGCGGATACTTTGGGAGTTGCGTAGTACGAGCAATAAGCAAAATGATGCACGTTTTATGTTAAGCCATCGAATAAGGGATTTATTATTCCTCCGTTATGTAATTTTCTAGTATTCCAACTTTCAATTTTTGAAATACATCTTGCATCATCCGAAAATGGTACCGATCGCATAAGGCACGTGCGAACGAGGAACTCTAAAGTGCAATACGGGCTCATACTTTGCTCTCTCTCTCTCTCTTGGCCTAATATGGTTAAATGGCATAATAGTGGAATAATAACATTCAAAAGAGGTTCTAAACCCAGGGAGCTTCGTTGCCACATTTTTAGTCATCAGTTTTACTGAGGTTCAACACCAATGACAGCGAGAACTGGGAACGATTACATGTAACACGGATTAGAAATGACAAAATTTAAAAAAACAAATTGGTAAAATTTTTCAGATGCTCAGCCGTGACATAGCTCGTTGAAGCTATGTAAAATCGCTAATAAAAAAATCCATTTCTATGTTTACCTCTTGGTTACTGAGCTGTACAGAAACATTCAAATAGAACTTGAAGAAGAAGCTCGTGCCAAGTGATCTCCTGTATTCCACCTGACCGCCTGGTGACCCGGGTTTGAGTGGCAGGTCTTCAGCTAACAACTGACAAGCATCTTCAACAATACTCTCGCTCCATGTTCTGAAATATCAACCAAGCTCTGCTTAGTACAGTCAAAACATGCATAACTGATAGAAAAAAGCCTGCATCTACATGTTATTCTACAATTAGTTCGATGCTCTTGTCACTTCCTAAGGCGCTGTTAGGCTCCGTCCACAGTAGCCGGACAAATTTGAAAACGCAGCTTTCTTTCTACGGTTGGGCCTACCGTCCACACTAATCCGTAACGAAAACGGAGCTTTCCGAAAATGCTCTTCAAACCGTAGGAATTTGAAAACGCGAGCTTTTCGTTTTAGTGCGGACGTAAAGCATTTTGAAAACGGAGCTTTTCAACAACGACCGATGTAGTCATGATAATCCTGTGATTTCCCTGAGCGAATTTTCCTCACACATAAATCCAAAACGACCGGTGGTTGTTGCGTTATAAAATTCCTCCGGCATAGTGTGGACGGGAAACATCATTTGATGTGTTTTCAGAGTGAAACCTCAGGTTTCAAATTCCTTCGACTTAGTGTGCACGGGGCTTTAACTTGGGTGATATTTCTTGTAGCTTGTTTCACAACTTTGTTACACTGTTACGAGAGAAAGCAACACAATAAATTGTAAGCCAAACTTTCCCCAATTAGATTATCAAACTTAACAAAAGACATGAGAAGTGCAAAGCTAGTNGAAACCTCGGGTTTCAAATTCCTTCGACTTAGTGTGCACGGGGCTTTAAATTGGGTGATATTTCTTGTAACTTGTTTCACAACTTTGTTACACTGTTACGAGACAAAGCAACACAATAAGTTGTAAGCCAAACTTTGCCCAATTAGATTATCAAACTTAACAAAAGACCTGAGAAGTGCACATCTAGTAGCACATAAACTACTTGCGTTTCTTTAGTTTGCTTTTCACTTATAAACTCGTCTCTCACCCTTCCTTAGCGTAATATTTATAAACCACAAGCTGCGGTACTGCAAAGTGTCGACAACGCAGAGTGGTACACACTTACAGTAACACTTATCCAGAGAACAATATTGCTTAATGCTTACGCTGCTGTTTAATGGTGTTGACTGTTATTTTAGTAGATATCCTTCATTATAATTTGTTGTCCTCCCACAAGACTATATTTTTCGCTTCCCAAGAAGTATAATACAGCGAATGAAAACACTGGTATTTGAGTGCTCGGCTGAAGTATCAATCGGTCAGAGAATCCATCAATTAGTCTAGCTGTCCTTTAGTCAATTAGTCCGTCCGTCCGTCCGTCCGTCAGTCGGTCAGTACATAACTACATACCTGCCAGTGAGTCCCTTGATGGTTTTCATGGCCATGACTGTTGTAGGGGCCATGCCTCCAAAACTGAAACTGCAATCCTGAATTTTCCATGAACTGGAATTTGTTGGCTTTTCCAATAGCACTCGCATACCAGTGTTCACTATAGCAATATCATCTTCACGCCGACGAGCTTGCTTGAAGGCGAACACATATTCATGCTGTAAAAATTAACACAGTTTATATAACAAGCAAAACGAGCGAGTAGACGAAGAGTACAAACGCCATAGATTGGCTGCATATCATAGAGACATGTAATGTAATCTCAACTTCAACTTCGGTTCTTCATCCAGGCAAATTCCCTTGAGAGTATTCCACTTCCTTACAAGTAGCTCAAAGTTGATAACAAATTAAATCATAAATCTCACTTAGTAACTGCCAATATCTGATGTTCATAATAACATCTACTGGTGATCTCTGCCTTAATTAAGTTTTGTTGCTACAATGGGCGACAAAAGTAGTCGAGACACTTTTAGAAAATGACGCTTTTCGATATTTAAGCACTTATTCTCTTTTATTTGCATCTAGCGTTAATTCTCTGATACACCCGGCCCCCCATTTCAATGTTGTGTAGGCGCTGTGGCCTGTGCAGTCTAAGAAATAGCAAAATCAACATTTTTTTTTCGGGGAGGGGGGGAGGGGGGTAAAATGTTTCCAAGACGCTCGAAAATCGAATTTTACTGCCAAGTGTCGCTACACTTTTGTCGCCTATTGTAGCACCATTAAATCATATCATTAATAGTAATCTCTCCATAACAGTTTTAAAGGAGCTCAGTCACGGTATTATGAGTTATTTTGGCCACATACAAAATTACCTTTAAATGTTAGGAAAACTGAAAATAACAGTTTAATAAGATAGAAAAACACCAAAGAGATAATGATAAACCATAAACGAACAAGGTTGGCTAAGGATGGAGAAGATTAACACGGATTACAAACGACGAATTTGAAAAATTGAGGCTAAACTTTTCAATATGCGCACAACGTGACGGAGCTTCTTTAAGACTCCATTATTGTAGCTAGTCCAGCGTATTAGTATGGGTAATCAAATGGTGACGAGTGAAAGGCTCGGGAAATTATTAGAAATTTTTACAAAACGCAAGTGAGATTATTTCTTAATTTCACAATTTTATACCAGTTGATTACCTATTAATAACATAGGCGACAAATTACGTTTACAATCGTGGGTTTTTGACTTGCTTATTTTATCGCCAAAATTACCTATGAAATTATTCGTAAAGCCCTTCCCTATAAGGATTTCCCAGAGTGAAACCATATCAGTAAGAACATCTTTGGGTCCATTTTGCTTATCATCATATAATTAATAATTAGGGCGATGCTTTGCTTTTTGTCAGTGTACCTTTTCCGTAAACGGAATAAAAATGTCCACCAAAACTTCACTTGGTTGTAACACCGTTCTTCTGTATCCAGTGAAAAAATTCTCATCCAGCTTCACTTTCCTTGTTTTTCCTTCAATCAATAATAAAATAGATTTTAACCTCAAGCTATATTCACCCAAGATTACCTACACTCTCAAACCGAATCTAATAATTGTTTTATTATACATTGAACGAAAAAAATGGAAGTCATGTTTTCGCTTCTTCACTGACGGCAAGCAACACAAAGCGCGCGAACTTGACATGATTACCCGTGACCTTGAGTGTCCTTGACATGATTAGTGTATAATCTGCAGAGATGACGTCACAGGCGCTGATTTCGAAAATTCACAGTACGCTTTCGACCAATCAGAAAAGAGATAGTGAGTTCAATGTATAATAATAATCTGCCGCTTGATGACGTCACAGGTGCTGATTTCGAAAATTCAGTGTATGCTTTCGGCCAGTCAGAAAAGAGATAGTGAGTTCAATGTATAATAAATATATGTTATTAAACTAGAGTGAGGTCCGTATTGGCGAAATACAGGTCGAGTTATTTTTGGTTTTTGCAACTTCCAAAAAAACAACAATACCAATTTTCTCAATACGGAACGAACAAGCTAGTCCAATTAATTTGCTGATAAATTGATGCGTCGCCGCAATCCATTCTCGGTGAACGAGTGCGAGAAAGGTAAGCATTTACAGGTGGAATCCCGTTTTCTCGAACCCTCCTTTTTTCGAACCTCCCGATAACTCAAACCAAAAAGTCGTTTTCCCTCCTCAGTCAAACGATGTAATTTTACCCCCGATTTCTCGAACTCTCCAATTTTTTTCGAACCAATTTTCGTTTCCCTTGGAGGTTCGAAAAATCGGGATTCCACTGTAATTACGTTTTTCACGTCGCTTTTCTGAACATTTAACTGAAATTATCCTCCAAACATGAAGGTAAAAAGATTTCCACTAAACAGAAAACTGTTCATTATATGCAATGAATTGAAAAAGTAATTCGCCGAAATAATTCATGAGCGTTCCATCTTAGTGGTCCGTATTGCAAAATTCGGACCACTTAAAGAACCAACCAGAATACTCCTTTTCATTGAAGACCAGTTCAGCCATGTAATAAATAATGCTATTTAACAAGTACTGGTTTATAAAACCAGGCCATTGGGATTATGATGGAGAATTATTTTTTTACTTTTAAATTTAACTTGGACAAATTTTTCACCAGCTGTTCAACTAAGCAATGGCGCACCATTCGCAGCCCATACCGATTACGCTTGCTAAGCATAATTTCTTTATTTTTTACCTTATAACTACAGTATATAAATTTTTCCACTTGTTGATATTTAAAGAAAGGCCAACTTCGTTACTATGTAATTTTCGCCGAGCCAGAATGCAAAAAAGTTCTTCGTAAGGGAACGTTTACTACGCAGGCTACACATTTTAAATCCAGTCATTTGCAGTGAACAGTACCTCCAGCAGCAGCTAATGTTAGAGTGCACCTCGCAGCCATGAACACCGGATTCAGGTCTGATATTGGACTGGCAGTCATGATATTTCCACCAATAGCCTAAAAGGAATTTGTTCTACTGTCAGTATTTTTGAGGGCCACTGCTCACAGCTGCTCACTGAGGGATCATATTCCAAATGAACATAGCTCTGACTAATAAATTGCTACATGAAAAATAAGAATCTGCTAATCAACTTTCTTTCCCTACCTGCTATACATTACGTAAACAACAGCAGACTGAAATATTAAACATATTCACCCCAACATTTCTTATCTGATGACCTGCAAACCACTTGAGCATGTGAAGTATTGCTGTGAACCATCTTGTCTTGTATTCTGCAAAATATACCAAGACAGCTCTCAATGCCTAAACCTAGAGAGTTTCTATAAGAATGGTATTCAATGAGTACATGTTATACTCTTATTATCAATGTGCATTAGACTTTGCCTGGCATCATAACCAGGGGTTTTATTAAGTTTCATTATTTTGCACGCCTGGTTTGATCATCTAGAGGAAAGTTTTTCCAAGAAAGAAGTCCAGTTCAAAAAGTTTTGCCTGCCTGTCAAACCAGTTGCTCTCCTGGTGAAAACGTTAATGAAACCCCTGTTATAAAGCACATGCCACACCTCACTCACCAGGCATGGAGTGACAAGCCTCATTGAGAACATCTTCTAACGTAGTAAGAGTCACTGAGGCACCAAACTTGATGCCATCTGATGTGTGTTCCACAGCGTTTAGTTCTGGGATGTGAGTAGGAGCTATCAGGACTGGGTAATTCTGCTTCTTGAATTTCATTTCAATTCCTATTAGGCAAGAAGCAAATAACTGAATATACAATTCAAAGCAATTTAATCCCTGTCTCATAGAGCTCAGCTAGAATGTGACACTTCAGGATAGTTACATAAACTTGCACCTGGGAGATGTTCAGTCATACATGTATAAAATTAATGATATATTTATATGAAGTTAACATAACTTAGTGAAAACATGGACAGTGGTCTAATGGTTTGTGTGCTAGACTACAGATCGAGCAGTCCTGGTTCAAACCCTAGCTGGGGTCATTGTGTTGTGTTCTTGGGCAAGACACTTCACTTCTGGGGGCCAGGGCAGACTCTAGGGGAAGGGGGCTACTGATCGCAAAATTTTGAAAAGAAGCCCTAAGAGGTACTAAGATCCTGTTTTGTGGGTGTGGCTTGAAATTTTTTCACCCCTAAGAGGTATCAGTCCTAAAATAACTTATCAACTGACATAGACTTTTTTCAGCTCAATGCCCTAACAGGTCCTGGTAAAGCTCCCACTGCACTGGACCCTTTTAGGCTGAACACCCAAGGAGGTACCAAAACCGCATTTTAAACCCCAAAAGATACAACAAGCACCCCCGTCCTTTTTAAAGGGGAGACTACTCCACGGGACTTTACTCTCACAATGTCTCTCTCCACCCAGGTATACAAATGGGTACCGGTGAATTTAGTGCTGGGGTGTAACCCTGCAATGGACCAGCATTCCATCCAGGGGGGAATAGAAATACTCCTAGTCTCTTAAGGTGACTCCATAAGGTAATCATTTATGCCGTTGCGCACACAAATGTTATGTTTTGAATGCCATTTTTGCACTCGTTTTTACAGCCAGTCCTCTCAAATGTATTATATGAAATAAGCAATGATTAAATAGTGTTTACTATCATCAAATTATGGGTTTTAGGCTTGAAATATAAATGCCCAAACAAATGGTTTTTTTTTAGTTTTTATACCTTTATTTGTGATTTTCTTGAATTTCCTTCATTGAAATCTTCCAAAATTTTCACAGCATATTGCATCCTGTGGGATATGAATTTTAACCACGAAAAAACTAAGGTTTGTAAAGGCAGGTTTTTCAACTTTTGCAAATTTATGTCTTTTATCGCTGTGAAAAAACTGGTCGTATAGATTTCCTTGAAAAATGAGCTCCGACTAAAGTAAAACATTTTGTACCAGTCTGCCAAGTTTTCCAGAATTTCACTGAAGGAAACGCGAGAAAATTCACTGTCAGTTTTGCTTTTTGTGCTCATATTGATGTCATAAAATATCGAAAACACTGACTTTTTCCTTTGAACACGCACAGATTACTTGAACTTTTGTCTTCAGCGTGCATGCAATTGTAAAACTATAGGGAGCCACCTTAATGCTACAGAAACCAGGATAAGGTTTGCCTATAACAGCCACTGACATGACACAGGCTTTCACATTAAGTGATCTAAAGTATGTTCTGTAATGCTTACAGGAAAGGAATATTTCACAAATCAGGCACCATTTCATAACACACTCGTGAGATTCATGAACATAAAATAATGTTCGGAACTAGTAAAAACTGAGATCATACTATGGTTGATTCAGCTAGTACTTATGTGCCTACTGGCGCGCAGAGACTTGATGATGATGATGATGATGATGAGCTAGTACTTGCATCAGGTAGAAACATGTTTTCATGTTTTTCGTGACAGTTGGATTTTTTTTTTTTTTTTACCACTTTGTCATCACAAGTCAAATTTCACCCAGAGGATATACACTTAATTAGCTTTTAATACTCACCTATCTCAGTGTTACCAATCACAAGTTTAGCTTTTGGATGTTTCATCTTCAGCTCTAACAATTCTTCTAATGTTGTTGGTCTGATCCAAGTGACAAGGTCTCCTTTAATGTAGAGACTCTTTGGCTTGGCAGCTTCTGGAAGCTAAGAGGATTTTAATTGATAGTCACAAATAAAGTGATGCTAAGAGGAATAGTAAGAGTTTATTGCTTTTTTACATGCATCCCCCTGACTGCATGATGTCTAATGCCTGGGGCTACCTACATATATAATCAAAATAAGGTAATAGAACCACACTCCACCTTAATTCAGCCCCCAGCTGCAGACAATGTGCATGAAGGCTTATTTGAAAGCACTTAATAATTTATTGTTTCAGTTCAAATTTCTGGAAATTTCCAGTTTGGATCTTTAGGAAACTTTCCCACATTAATCTTCTGTTCCATTTTCCCTCATTTCAAAAGTCCCATCTGGAGTTGTTGCTTGAAAGGAAAGTGCCTCCAGTCTTCATAACAAGACTAGTAAGTTAATTAACTGCTTCTCCACCTTCTCCACCTTCTTAGTCTTCTGCAAGTTAAGTACCTCCAGTATTCTGCCAGGTTACCCAAGGTAATGTAACAACTAGCACGTTGGTGGAAATCTTATGGTCATCTTCAAGGATCTTCAAAGATCTTCAAAGATAATGTGATAAAGATCTTCAAGGATCCTATCAAGGATTTTAACACTGAGCTTTCAAAGTGTTTGCCAAGATCCTCAAAGATCAAATTTCGTGCCAGGATCTGTAAGGATCTCCAACTTTCTTGTCAGGCTCTTTAAAGACCTTGATCTTTCTTGCCATGATTTTCAAGGATCTTCAAAGATTTTACTCAAAGATCTAGCCAAGATCTTGGATTGTTACACTTGCTATCAGACAACTACAATCTGACAACAAGAATGCACAAGCTTACCATTAGTTCAGGGGGGAAGATCACATCCTGTGTTGGATCATATGGAGCAAATTCTGCAGCCTTGAACAGTTCATTGGCACCCTGTGCATTACAAAAGATGCAGTATTCATAGTCAATCAAGATAAATATTAAGATTCTTTGAATTCAAATGCATACTCAAACCATTTTTTTTCTTGATGGTAGGAATTATGAAAATCAAAATACTGTTAGTACCACATGCACATCTGCAATACTTCTTGTAAGGTAACAGTGAAGTCTGCGTAAAATTAAAGCCAAGCAGCCCTGATCAGGCCAGAGCTTATCCCACTTTCTGTAGCACGAAGCGACTAGGAGTATATCTACTCCCCCTGGCAGTTTGGAGCCCTCTGGTTTTTCAAACCTCCAGTGAAGGGAAACTTGGTTTGAAAAATCAGGGGTAAATTTATCACTAACAGTGTTTGACTGAGGGGAGGGAAACAAGTTTTGGTTAGAGCTGCCAAAATTAAAAAAAAAACAAGGGTTTGAGAAGTCAGGATTTCACTGTACAGTGAAGATTTTGTCAATGTGCAGTTCCAGAAAATATTCATACTCCCCCCACAGAAGGGATTGGAATTTCCTAAGGGGTTGTGGGTTCTGGATGACCAAATGTATGAAGCTTACCTGGAATTTCCAGAGGGGTGGGG